AGTTTCGTTCCAATTTAAGAACTTTTATTTCTACACAAAAATAACACCACGGTAGTTCTACTGAAAACATCACCAATTCAGGTTGGTTTTATTCAAATCATGCAAATTAGAGTCCAAAACAAGAGGAAAAGCGTTAGAAAAAGTAGATATGACGGAGACGTATCAACTAACAGGCCCAGGCTATCAGAAACGTGTTCTAATCACCGCTGGCACACCTATTAACGGACGTTTGGGTCACGCCGTCTCCCCGTCTGACATGGCCCTAACTACCGGGCCCGGAGATTGGTGTGATACTCAAGATACATATGCAATGGTGTAGGACGACGCGGCCCCGAAGACTTCTGCTTCCAGCCGCTCCATCAGCAGCGACCTTCCTATGATCCTATCTTGTGTAGTCCCCACACAAAACATAACAGAGTTGCTCGACTCACTATGTGCATTTAGAAACCAAACGGAACCGAGAAGACCCGAACTAAGCCTATATTTTGGTTTATATGGTTTTTGATTTTTGGTATGGTATAGGATTTAAAAAACATTTAGAAGTCGTTTTTTAAATGGTTTTTACCAAATAAACCGAATATAGTTTATGCCCAGTCCAGTAAGAGCACTTCTAGTCTAGTTCTTGATCTTTTCTATAGCCCAACGCGACAACTAATCCTTGTACCGAAACCGGAAAGAAAGTGAAGAAGCATGCAACCTCAAGAGCAACAATATGACTATACTACACCAGGCTTCCCAATGATCTACACCGCGCTTCATGCAACTATTTTGTAACTGTATTTGTGTCACACTAAGGATATGGAGTTCTGTACACACGACATTTGTGTCACTTTTCGGTGAATACAAAATATTGTATGGCGTGAACGAATCAACACCACAACCAGCATCTAGTGATTGTGCTAGTGAGAGTTCAACACCACGATCAGATTTCATGCTTATGCGGGCTTTATACAACAATAGCATGAAACTAACTACTGGTGATGGTAGTCGTAGAACTAAAATAGACAAGTTCTTAGCTGAAGATGTAGAAGAAAATAGTCCTGGATTCAAGGTTCTCAATTGGTGGAAATGCAACTGATTATGCTTTCCTATTCTTTCAAGCATGGCTCACGACATGTTAGCAATTCCTATTTCAACCGTTGCTTCCGAATATGCTTTTAGCACTAGTGGGTGTATTCTTGATGCCTTTCGAAGCTCTTTGACTTCGATGACACTCCAAGCCTTGATTTGTACACAAGATTGTCTGCGTCATAAGTGTATCAACATTGAGGCCAATCTGGAGGAGTTGTCTAAACTAGAAGAAGGTACTATTTATAGACACATAAGCCATGAAGCACAACTTGCTATTACTGAGTACAAAGTACTGACCATTATATTGTTTTTCATGCAAGAGTTTTAGATCTACAAGCCTGAACGAGGATCTCTTTATCGTTGACTGATGTGTCCTTGAAGCAACAAAGCTATTTTTTTTGGGTAATTAGGCTGATGGGAATCGTTGAAGGTTGAAACTACTTTTGGTAATTAGGCGGCTGACATGGTAGTCGTTGAAGCCTGAAGCAATGCTGGTGAATATTTTGGTAAATAGTTGCCCCAGGGCAACACTACACAACCTGAAAAACTACAGTTATGCACATGTTCTGTACCGAACTAGTGACTAATGTGTAAATTTGTTAGATATGCTTGTGTACTAATTATGAAATGCTAAGTTGCATTAGGCTTGTTTTGTTTCATGCGTGGTGGGATGATGGCCCTGGTGGATGAATGTTCACGCTGTGTACTAAGTTTGGGCATATACAACCTTTCTTGGTTGTCTCGTATATGTGAATCTGTGATGGCCCTGCTCCTGATGGCTGAATGCTGAATTGTTGATGCTATTTACTCTCAAGTTTGAACATGTACACAATATTTAGTCACGGAAATATGTAACCAGAACTAAATAGTTGTTGCGTTGTTTTCATATTCACGTTAACTTTGGTTATTTTGGCATGTATCGAAACTATACTGAAATATTTAAATTTTGATATATACCGAAGCCGAACTGTATTTACCGAAATATCAATACCGTGTAAAACCGAGAAACCGTGTTTACCGAACCACGTACACCAAATAAACCGAACACACAGAGTTATGCTGGACGGCACAACACAAAGCGTACACTTTCACCGGCGCAAGTCTCGTCCCTCTCGGTGACGAGTATTTAACCAAAAACGACCACAATTCACGGAACCGTGACGAAAAACTACCACTTTACGATTTTGTCCCGAAAACTACCACTTTCTCGCTAATCTGTGACTAAAAACTACCATGTCGGGAAAGTGCTCGATTCGCCTCTTCTAAACGCATTTCTGACAGGATGGACCCACCTGTCAGCATCAATCTTCTTCTTCTTCCTCCTCCTCCTCTCTCTGGCATTCCTCGAACACCTCGCGTGCACTCCGGTGACCCTCTCGCCCGCACTTCACCGCGTCCACGACCACCTCGTGCAGCTCCCCGTCACCGTCGTCAGCGCCCGCTGCTTCCCCTCTACTCCGTGGCCGCGCGCCGGAGCTCGTGCTCCGAGCCGCACCCGCACGCGCGCGCCCGCGGCGCTCGTGACCGCCCCTCGCCATGCGCACCGTGGTCGCCGTCCCCGTACCACGCTCGCTCGCCAACACCTGCCCGCACACACCTGCTACGCCCGCGGCCGCGCCCCCGCCTCCGGCCGCCCGGGCTCCTCGCACCTGCCGCCGCTGCCCTTCACCGCTGGAGTCGCTCGCCGCGGCAGCCGCGGGTCAGCGCTGGAGCCGCTCGCCGCGGGTCAGCGCTGGAGTCGCCACGGGTCGTCGGCGGCCACGCGCTGCTTCAGCTTGTCGATGCAGCCGCGGGTCAGCGTGAACGACCGGATGACCAGCTTGGGCGGCGGCACCGCATGCGCCGGTGGCGGAGGAGGAGGCCCGTCGGCCGCCAGCTGGCGCATTTCGTCGAGCGTCCTGGCGGCAAGCCCTCGGGGTCCGCGATGACAGCACGGTCCAGGAACGGCGGGGGCAGCAGCGCGGCGCTGGCGGCCACGCGGCAGTGGCCGGCCCCAGTAGCTTGGTGGGCACGACGACGGCGAGGTGGGAGCGGGCGCGCGCGTGCGGGTGCGGCTCCGACGCGAAGGATGGCCAGGGCGGCACCTGGTTCGTGGGCCCAAGCGGTCAGATTTGTGCTTAGCACGGGCCAAGCGAGCGATTTCGCGACTTGGTAGTTTTTTGCCACGGATTAGGAAAAAAATGGTAGTTTTCGGGACAAAATCGTAAAGTGGTAGTTTTTCGTCACGTTTCCGTGAATTGTGGTAGTTTTTTGGTTAAATACTCCTCGGTGACAGACAAGTTAACGGCCACTCGTTGTACATGCACGCACGCGTCATCATCAAGCTAACATTTGCAACCGGTGGACGTGCTGTAATCATATGATGCGCTGATACGGATGGCAAGCTGTTTGCTCCGTGACAAATGCATCTTTTTAGGTGCTATAAAAAGAGATGGGACGGTGTAATACATACAAGGTGGAAAGTGATGTCAAATTGGGTGGGGTAGTCAACTTTCGGGTCACGTTATAGCCGGTGCAGCAAGTGGAAGAATTACACTTTCATGGTTAAATTATACCGCTGGATGTTCATGTTAACTCCAATTCCATGAATCAATGGAGTGAAACCAATCCATGAAACAATCCATGGCCTGAGTCGATGGCACACCTGTATCTGCAGCCCTGCCAAGAACACATGACCCATCCTCTTGTTTGTGCACGCTCATGTTCGATCTTGTCTCGGGTGTGAGCTGCAGCTTAGGATTCATCAAGGTTGAATGTTTAAGATCGACCTCCATGAACCAAGTTCTTGAGTTTGCGTGTGTTATGCGGGTCACCCAGCAAGGATCACCATGAGCCGAGACCATGCAACTATATTATCTGATAGTACCAATCAGTGTGGTACAAAATAAATTAGTAAATAATTTGCATCCCCTCATCTTCTCGGCAGACTTCAATTGCACCTTGGAAACTTGATGGATTCATATATGCTGTGATGTTGCTGTGATCAGCTCGATCGATCCATCATCGTGTATGGCCGAGAGCACTATACACCAAACCCACTCTGATCTCTTCCTGGACAGAATTCTTGATCCAAACAGCACACAGAACTTTCAAAATTTCCAATCCAGTTCGTCGTTCCAGCAAATACTACATACAAATTGGGCCGCACATCGAGAAGTTATGTAAAATTATGAACTAATTTGATCTCACAGTCACGAGTAGCACAAAAGCCAGCTTGTATGATCACCCGGTAGACTTTCCCCAACCACAAGAACAAACACTGATCACTCCAGTGCAAATTATTCCGGACTCAAGTGCGACATCGCAAATGCAGTAGCTGGGAAGCCTTCCTCGTGTCCACGCCTGCAGGAGTACGGTGGTTCTCCGGCGAGCCGGCCGGCCACATCGCCGGTGCAGGAGCCAAAGCTGGGTTGAACTCACACACCACCAGCAAAGGTTGCCACAAAAGTTGTGCAACTTGCGTGACGTTCCATCTCCTTGTAGCCTATCAAAACCACGTCGGATCGGCCTGTTCCCGGTATCTACGTGTTGCTACGTTATCCTGCTACAACACCACGCCGGAAAATCCCATCGTTCGCCGGTGCACCCCGTGCCGGCGGCCGGAAATCTCCACCAAACTCACACTAAGGCACCATCCTGACCAGTCCCTGATCACCGGCGCATTTCTCCCAGAACACATAACCAAATCACACAAGCTCGATCTTGTTACAAAGACATTATCCGTACCTACACAATGCGGAAAATTACACTCGAATCGGTGCAGAGGAACCGGAGATATTCGATCGGAAATCGAGAGGAGAAGCACACTCTGGAAGTCTGGAGGCCGGTTCCTGAGCCAGCGAGGCCAACCAGGGGGGCGGCAATCCGCGGCATCGGATGCGGCGCGTGGATGACCGTCGGATGGGGACAGATCGGACGTCGCGCGTTTGATGCGGGGCGCTAGGGGGAGCGATCCGCGCCAACGCCCCCTCGACCAATCAGCGCGCGGCTTTCGGCCCTCTCCGGCTCGCCCGTCTTCCGGACGTCTCCCACTATTTAACCAGCGCTCCCTCCGCCCCGACCTACTCACCCAGCTCACAAGCATCTCCCTCACCTCCGGCGAAAAACACACCAGAGCTCACCTCTCCCCTCGCTTCCTCGCGAAAATGTCGACTGAAGTGGCTGCCGCTGACATCCCGGTGCCTCAGGTGGAGGTAGCCGCCGACGCCGCCGTTGACACACCGGCGGCGAAGCCGGCCAAGGCGCCCAAGGCGGCCAAGGCCAAGAAGTCCACTGGCCCGAAGAAGCCCCGCGTCACCCCGGCCCACCCGTCCTACGCCGAGGTAAGCCCCCGAGTCCTTCGCCGTCGTTCCTCGTTCCGTCTGTTCTCCCGTGTTTCCCCTGATCTGACTTTGGTTTTGTCCGTTCGTGCGTGCTCAGATGGTGTCGGAGGCGATCGCCGCCCTGAAGGAGAGGAGCGGGTCGAGCACCATCGCGATCGGCAAGTTCATCGAGGATAAGCACAAGGCGCACCTCCCGGCCAACTTCCGCAAGATCCTGCTGACCCAGATCAAGAAGCTCGTCGCCGCCGGCAAGCTGACCAAGGTCAAGGGCTCCTACAAGCTCGCCAAGGCCCCCGCCGCCGTCAAGCCCAAGACGGCGACCAAGAAGAAGCCCGCCGCCAAGCCCAAGGCCAAGGCGCCAGCCAAGAAGACGGCCGCCAAGTCCCCGGCCAAGAAGGCCGCCGCGAAGCCCAAGGCCAAGGCCCCAGCCAAGGCCAAGGCCGTCGCGAAGCCCAAGGCGGCGGCGAAGCCGAAGGCGGCTGCCAAGCCCAAGGCCAAGGCTGCCGCCAAGAAGGCGCCTGCTGCTGCGACCCCGAAGAAGCCTGTTGCCCGGAAGCCGCCCACCAAGAGGGCGACGCCGGTGAAGAAGGCCGCTCCGGCCAAGAAGCCCGCGGCCAAGAAGGCCAAGAAGTAGAGGCCGCTTGACGGACCTAGATGCCCTGGCGGTAGTATTGAGTAGCCTAATTCTCTGTTCGGTGTTGTCGGTCAAGAGCTTCTTGACTGTCTTGGGCGGCGGTGGGCTGTAAATCTGATCTATCTGTGCCGGGGGTGTACCCTTGTCGAGGAAGAGTGGTATCCATGGGAATCAGTTGTACTAGTAGTAGTAACCAGTGTAATTGAGTCTTTTTATTATCGCAGCAATATCCATGAGTTATTTGTCAAAATTACCGTGTTTCATTTCGAGATCTGAAATTGAGTTCGTATCTTTTGTAGTATTGTCAATGCCAATCTCCTAGATTTATTTTGCTAAGGATGATTCTGCGTTAATGGCCACCTCAATTTACATGCTAGATTTTCAGGAAATGTTACTTATGCAGGGAGATGAATGGATGCCTACTTTCATCAAGAAAGTAAGAAACGTTAGTTATGCAGGGAGAGGAATGGAATCGTGAACACAGAGAGAGAGAGAGAGAGCACAGTAAGCTAACTAGCCCGTCCATGGCGATGCCGGCGGTGTCCGTCGGCCGTCGACGCGTGGATATGCCTGCTTTCAGCGAGATGTATGGTGGCTGCGGGGCAAGATTCGCAGGAGCCTCTCCGTTTCGGTGGGGCGGGCAGTGGCAGAGACGTTTCGGGTGGGGGCGCGCGCTTTCGCTTTCAATTTTCGCCTTGCTACCCGTCCCGCCTGCAGTGTTTCCCTTTCCGCGCTTCCGAAACCCACGCCAGTGGGCAGCAAGCGTGTGGATGTACGCTCTACAGGAGTGGCTGAACGTGGGCCTGTTTGATTGAAGCGTACCTACGCCACACCGTTTGTTTGCCAAATGTGTGGAATGCCACAGCATTTGCGGCGAGTAAATTGTTAGCCACACTTCTGGGAGGGCTTGACAACAAAACCTGTTTATGACATGTGGGGTTGGGTGCTAAAAAATCATGGCACGCCATGAGTGAGGCAGAGAAACAAGCACTAGCCTAAGAAAGTGTGGCATGCCTAACATGTCTAGGACCCAAACCAAGGAGACATTGAAGGTTCAAGCCAGTGTCGAATTATTGAAGACAACGATTCAATTAACTGATGGTGCAGACCCATGAATGGCTCACAAGTGGAATTGGACGGCTCGGATGGACAAGGGGCTGGGCTTGGGCTCTGTACCCCCCATCCCTCTCTGTTCGCGGCGGCGGTGGAGTAAACTGTGACGGCGAAAGCAGTGACGGTGAATCATTCAGGCACAAACCAACAAGTCCGATAAGGCTGCTTAGGGATACTCTCCTTGTAAAATTTCTATCTCTGGCATTGATTCATGTGCTATTGGCGGCGTTCAGTTCGTGCGAGGAGAGCATGTTGGGATTTAATGTATAACTCCGATTACTTGTGCTCTTTCTCAAAGGAGTTTGGTCCAAATCGGAGATTTTTGGGACGAGATCGTTAGCCCGTCTCTCGCACCGACCTGATCTGAGATGTCAGACACACGCACCAAGGTTCAAATCACAATGGATAGACTAGAATGAGAAGTGTCTGAACTACGGGTCGAGCCTTCTGAACTTAAGGACTTGCGTTTGGAAGTGAACCAGTTGAGATACGAGATGGTCACAATGCCTAAGGTTGAACAAAAGTTGTCTGATACGAAGGTTGAGAACCAAAAGCCGTTGAAATAGATACTGCTTAAAACTACACCCAATGTTCAGAAATCAAAGGCAGTTAACAGACAACATTTCCCTCATGTGTCGGTATCTCTCTGCATTTCTCTTCATCACATATCACCATATCTGATACTGGCATGCATATTGTTCATCAAATTACTAGAAATCTGAATGTTGCATTTGATTTACAAAGTACTGTACTTGGTACTACTCCTATATTGGCATTATTGGAGTAACTATATTTTTACTTGCACCTCCATTATTCACTAACAACATGGCCATAACCACAATAAGAAACCATGGAATCCCTGTCCATTCCCAGCTTAGGTTGACACCATCCAACATTGAAAAGTCATCTCCATGCACATACTATGGGTTTGACTGGTAGCAGGGGATATTTTGCTCCTATAAGCACTCCTTTGTATTGCTCACCACACATATATAACATTGTCTGGACAATTTATCAATACCGCTACCACCGGTCTGAAGGAAATATGCCCTAGAGGTAATAATAAAGTTGTTATTTTATATTTTCTTATTTCATGATAAATGTTTATTATTCATGCTAGAATTATATTAACCGGAAACTTGATACATGTGTGGATACATAGATAAAATACCGTGTCCCTAGTAAGCCGCTACTAGACTAGCTTGTTGATCAAAGATGGTTAAGTTTCCTAACCATAGACATGTGTTGTCATTTGATAAACAGGATCACATCATTAGGAGAATGATGTGATGGACAAGACCCATTCCTTAGCTTAGCATTATGATCGTTCAGTTTTATTGCTATTGCTTTCTTCATGTCAAATACATATTCCTTCGACTATGAGATTATGCAACTCCCGGATACCGAAGAAATTCCTTGTGTGCTATCAAACGTCACAACGTAACTGGGTGATTATAAAGATGCTCTATAGGTATCTCCGAAGGTGTTTGTTGTGTTGGCATAGATCGAGATTATGATTTGTCACTCCGAGTATCGGAGAGGTATCTCTGGGCCCTCTCGGTAATATACATCATAAGAAGCCTTGCAAGTAAAGTGACTAATGAGTTAGTTGCAGGATGATGTATTATGGAACGAGTAAAGAGACTTGCCGGTAATGAGATTGAACTAGGTATGAAGATACCGAAGATCGAATCTCGGGCATGTAACATACCGATGACAAAGGGAATAACATATGTTTGTCATAACAGTTCGACTTATAAAGATCTTTGTAGAATATGTGGGAGCCAATATAAGCATCTAGGTTCCACTATTCGTTATTGACCGGAGATGTGTCTCGGTCATGTCTACATAGTTCTCGAACCCGTAGGTTCCGCACACTTAGCGTTTGATGATGATATTGTATTATATGAGTTATGTGATTTGGTGACCAAATGTTGTTTGGAGTCCCGGATGAGATCACAGACATGACAAGGAGTCTCGAAATGGTCGAGAGGTAAATATTGATATATAGGACGATGGTATTCGGACACCGGAAGTGTTCCGGAGGGTACCGAGTACATATCGGGTCACCGAAAGGGGTTCCGGGCACCCCCGGCAAAAGATATGGCCCTTTTGGGCCAGGAGGGGAAACGCACCAGCCACCAGGAGATGGCGCCCCCCATATGGGC